GGGTTTACAACAATTACCATCATCATCAACATGCAGGAGTCTGTATTCCAACATAAAAAACACTATCTGCCTTTTAAAATATTACAAAAGCTACATAGTTATGAATTGAGGTGGGGTTTTTTGGCTAACAGAAAAAAAACGATAATGTGCTTTTCAGATAGTCAGGTGTCCCACTGATAAAATAAGTCTGATGAAAGAGAAAGGCACTTCAGCAGGCTCATTTACCTTCAGATTTTCCAAATATGCAATGTTTCATTTGCAGTACTAGACAATGGATGTAATATACTGCCTTTTAATTTGCACAGTGTTAGACCAGTAATATTGTTAACCTGTTTCACTTTTTAACTAATGAGAAGAGTTTAGACTGGTGCCCATTCATTTCATCCTCTTTGGTACAAATTACTGCATAAAAACAAAGCAGACAACTAAACATGTTTATTCCTACATTCTACATTACTTTTTGTGCGTCATCTCCAGCTCTACACTGGTAACTCATGTCCTTAATCATCAGGTCAGTTGTGCTTTCAGGTTTGTAAGACAGCAGTGTTATTTTCTAATAGTACTATAAAGATTTTTCCTGTTCATCAAGGGGAATTTTTAAGTGATTCCCCCTCCCCCTTTTTTTATTTCTATAATAGATGGCATTTGATAACAATCTGAAAATTACTGTCAGTTAGCTTGTTCTAGCTAACATATCCAGATTAATGTGCTGCACATTATTTAGCCTGATCACTTGCCCCTTAATTTATGATACATCAAAGTACTGATCTAAGCCACATGAATTAATCTGCAGAAACAAGCTTTGGCTAACTCAATTAACCATCTTATCAAAACCAGGTAAGACCTGGAACCAGTACACCCTTCTGCAAGAAGAATCTCAACCTCATGTATTGCAACCATGGCGGGGAAGTTGTATTGAATTTTATTAACAGCCTTTCACCTTAAATATATGACAAAATTTGGTATTGAGTGTTCTGTATCTAGCTAACACCTTTCACTTAAAACTGTGTGTACCTGTACGTAGCTTTTTCCCCCAAAAAGCTGACAACTCAACAAGCATCTTGTGAAGAAGCATCCGAGACATAATTCTTGCAAACATTTGTGTTCTCCAAAAAGAACTGATTGCACTGAAGCACAAACGCCTTTCAGTTTGGAAACAAGCATCAGAAGGAAGCTACATCCTTGCCCATTTTCCCTCTCATTCCCCTCTCCTTAGAGGGGGCTTACCTTGAAGGTGTTCAGGCATGGCCCACTACTTCTTCTCAAGCTAACCTCCAAATGCAAAGTCGTCGAAACCTCTGACTGTTTCCCTGGCCTTTCCAAGAGCAGTGCACCATGAATCCTTGCGACTTTTTGCATAGACCTAACTTTAGCACTAACATTTTAGCACTCTTAGTGCTGCAAGACTGAGCCAACAGAAAAAAAAATCTGAAAAAATAAATTCACTGATTCCTATAAATTCCTATCTTGAAATCATAGATAGAAATATAGAAAAGCATTAGTTTGACCAAAGATAAATTTCATTGTAAGATTTTATCTTTTCCACATAGGTTACGTATCATGTATGGTTATCTCTGGAATTAAAGTTTTTAAAACTCAGTGTAGTCAAATTCCCTTTTTTAACGATTTAAACCCAAGACAAATTCTAGTCGCTAATAGGTAATTTATATTTCCAGTGCATCAATTCCAACATACAGCCAGAACATGAAGACTCTGTAAATGCTGAATATAAATAGGATGTATAATTCTAATAATTTTAGAGCTATGTAGAGTTTTTAAAATCCAAGATTTAATGGTTATGATAGGGCCAAGGAAGAATTCCTTGTTGTTGTGTGCTTAGGGGCATCAACTGTTTTCAGGTAGCATTTATCTTTGCAGATGCAACTGCAGCAGTAATTTCTCTCCACGTAACAGTTTTCTCATTCTGACACGGAAAACAAGTATTTATTTTTAATATAAAACTAGACTTTAGAAAAGCCTCTTGAAGTGTTACCAGCAGCATAAGATACCATGTGATAAATGCTAGCAAGTTACATGCTGAAAAGTTGGTGTATGGGATCTACAAAGCAAGCAAAGATAGCCGTTGCTTGACTGGCGTGGGTAGAGGCAACAGCTAAAGACAGCCTTGGAAATAGTATTACCAGAACTGCAGAAAAGAATTTAAATATTCCACTAAAAGAAATGCTCACACCCTCATTCAGCAAAGGAGGAGCTACTATCTAGTAGAGATACCAACCTCATATATAATGAGATGCCTATTTTTCAGAAAACTTTATTCTATCTTTCTTCCTACTAGTGAGAAGCCTAGCAGCAAGAAAGTCTTGCAAGAAGATCCATTCCACTCTGACTTGCTTTGTTGGCTAAAGCTGAAGTGCATCACTGATGTGCTTTGCACTACAGTATGTGCAAGGTAAAACCAGCTAAACCCAGACAGTCAAAAGCTCCTTTAGAATGATGGTACAGAACCGAACTCTGCTCTTTGCTCTTGATCAGCTGGCAGAGCAGACAAGAAGCTGCACTACATCAGTACAGCTTTTGGCACCGCTACTCTGAAGTCCCAGAGTTACAACTGATCTTTTCAATGTTTCTAATCCTTTTTCTTTGGTGACCAGATACCGACTCTGACGCGGAACAAGAACGCTGGAGTGCAAAACTTTATTCCTTTGAACTCACAGGAATCAAGCTGTTTACCATGGTCTGAATATTTTAATGCTACACGTAAGTTTGAGGAATTAGGTCTTTTTGGTGTTTACAATGAAAAAATGCATTAAAAAAACCCTCTGCAATATATTTAAGTTACTTCAGGTGAACAAAAGTTCAAGTAGAGACATAAATTTAATATTAACACCTCAAAACAATTAGCTTGTCAGGGATTTTCTGTTACGTTCAACAGAGTATCTAATATTTTCTTTTTTGAAAAGGGAGCCATCAGAACCGATGCAAGTTTAAGAGCAGGGCAACATTAAACCTCAAGTCAAAGCAACTTTCAGAGGAAATGTGCATCTACAGAAGATACATAAATTGCTTCCTACCAATGTATACAAGAAAGCAAAGGATGAAAATATCCATATTTGGGGCTATAGAGTTAGTCATACACAAAATCCAGTGGAACTGCATATAGAAAAAAAAAGTATTGTGAAAATGTATTCCGTATAGGAAAATTGAATTACAGTTACCTAAAGAGAGTACCAAAGGCATGCTAATATGACAAGCTATCTTCACCTCTGAAGTAGATGAATCGTGTAATTAAACCAGATTCTTTTGGCCAAATTAATTACAGACATATTTGCACACCTATCTCAAACTTATGTTGTACTCTCATACTTGTGAACTCAACAGGAACATCCTATTTTGTTCATGAAGTAACTGGACATCAGAAGAAGTCGGATTGATGTACTACTAGTACCATTCCGGTTACCTTGCATATTCTTCTAGAAACAGGACCAGACAACTGACAACCCCAACAGAACAGACATATTTCACAGTAATATTTCCTGAGTAAATATTCCCAGAAGCCCAGCTGCATAGGGTATTTCCCAACTCTTGAGCGTACTACAGGGCAGACAACCAAGTGCACCTCACCCCACGATTCAGATATAGGCATTGTATGTTCGGGTCTTGGTACAGAACCTTAACCAAGCTCTAAGGGAAATATTTATAAAGCTTTTTTAGGATGATTTATAATCAAACTGCCAAAGCCAAAATGCTGGAACTTATTTCATCAGGGAAACAGCTTCAAAGCCACAGAAAGACATTCTATATACTATACAAAGCACATTAAGGGATGCATCTACTTTTCTGTTAGCCAAAGTTGAAACGATCACTTTGACAAGATGAACATTAAAAATAAAGGATATTCTGATGGCCTTTTCCTTCCTCTATACATATCTTGGTTACATTTCATGCATTCATGACTTTTGGTAAATTTAACTCTAAGATGAGTCATAAGTGGTATTTATATTGCATTATAGACCAAATTTTGCTATCTGCGCTCTCATGCTCATAAAACCCCCCAACTTTTAAAGCCTGTTTTACCCCTCTGTGATGCACAACCTAGAAAAAAGTAGCTCAGGCTGGCAAAATATAGGCACATAAAGCTCCAATGATCTTCAATTATTTTTTTTTTTAAACATAAAATAAAAAGCAACAGTGCTGAACTTTCCTGCTAAAGGAAACTATTTGAAAGGCATAATTTGTCTAAACTTGCAAACTTTTTCATTATGGGCTAAACTCCAACTTTTAAATCTGCAGAGATTCAAGATGATGTTGCGGAGCACAACTGGCCCAACAGCACGCAGAAGAGAGGATTTTAGCTGACAACGAAGCCAAAACAAGACACGGGGATCAGTAATAGCAGCAGCTTCAAAGGCTACCAGCACCAGTCCTCTTCTGCTGGATGCGGACACTTCATAACAGATGCCAATCTTCAGTGTCCACAGTTCATAACAAAGCAGATAGGCAACATCTTAACACAGCGGGGAGCATGAACTGCAGCAGCCACAGAGCTTGTACACCTTTTCCTTCTGCCGCTGCTATATGGAATGACAACCTCTTGCACATGGATGGGCAGACAGGGAGGGCAGTAATGCTTTAGAGCTCTGCTGATAAATCCAACAGAGCTCATCTGCTGGTGTCATGGGACTAATTGATGAAACGTTTTACATTATACAAAGAAGTCGTAACAGATCCCTAGAAAAGTTCACATATAAAATACTGTACAGATGGTCACATTGATTAGGAACAAGGCTGAGGAATGGCTTCAACCACTCTACCAACACATTAGCAACAAGTAAAAAAAAAATTAAAAGATGTGCCTACATTTCTAACTGTGCATTCCCAGAGGTGTGTCCAAGAATGACAGGCTAATTAAAATGTGGGCCTTCCCTATATTGCCAGCAAAATTAGGAACTGGAAAACTTTCAGAGTAGCATTTCCCTGCTATCAATTCACATTGAATATCAATTGCCCAGCTGAAGTTTAGTAACTCAATCTGCATATTAAAAAAAAGTAACTTCATGATACTAGAAAACAACATTTCCCCTGTAAACCCAATACTGCAGAATTACACAAGCAGCCAAGAGGTCAATAACTAGCAGGGAGAGCAACAACACAAAGCACATTGTGTTTTAATTTATAGGAATAAGCGGTCTCTCCTCTCTCTTCTTCCAGATATTGGTTTTGCTATCTCTTTTTGTGATAGATGGTCTATCCCTTTTTTTAGGGGAAGGGATACCAGATTCATGACTTCCTGATACAGGTTTTCTTCTTAGACCTTCTTCATCTTGCTGTTCTATGACTGGCCCATTCCCTCCATCCAGAATGTGCCTCACAGCCTGGTCCTCTGGAGTACAAACAGTGGTCCCACTTTCACTGCTACTCAGATCCAGATCTTCCAAGTAAAGGATCTTGGAATGTGGCATATTTTTTATGAAAGTTTTCTCTCTCTCCAGTTTCCTACTAGGATGATGCTCATTCATATCCACACCAGAGTCCAGACTGGTATCATTACTCTCTGTTTTTCTGCCCTTTTTCAGATCTATGAAAGAATGCCTCACTTGAGCAATTGGCTTACCATCCAGGGACACAAACCATGCTCGAGGGTGTGGAGATGGTTTTCCTTTAGAGAGTTCCAATAATGTTTGTTCCGAAATACCTTGAAGTTCAGATGAAAACGGAGTCATTACAACTGCTTCATTCAATGTCCCAGGAACAGAGACAGATTCCAGTAAGCTATTAGTGTAGCGGCCCCAGTTTGATGTTTGAGAAGGTAAGCCCTCTTCACTATCTAATGTACTGTTTTCATCTCTGCAGACAGAAGGCTGTGGATGAGCGTGCACTGGCATTTTCGGTAACGTTTGCATGTAAGTGTCACGATTCATGGGTTCCATCATGGGGCTATATACTAACTGCCCTTTCCTTGGCAAAGTTGCTGATTTAGCAGGATGCAATTGTTCCGGGGAGTGGAAAAGGTCAGAGGTTTGAAGAATAGCAATAGGTTGATTGTAAATATGCATTAGATGTTCTGGGATATGGGAAAGCCCATACATCTCCTTGTTCAGTGAAAGGTATCGGTTTTGGTCCTGAATGTCCCTAGGAGCCTGGGAAATAGTACTGTTACTATGCTTTGGCTGCTGTAAGTGCCTAACTCCAGCGTTAGGCTCCAGTGAGTGGGCTGAATTTCTTGACTGACCAGTCTGACAGGATGACTGATAAGAAGCATCCTCTGTGTAGATTTTAAAATTGTCTCGAGATTTTCCATCTTCCGTGTCTACGGACATCCTTCTTTGAGGGCTGTATGAAGAAATCTTCGGTGTATATAACTGCGACTTATCCTCCAACTTTAAAGACCCTTTGACAGCACTGATGTGATTTATGTGAGTTGTTGATGTTGTCTGGTCTTTTTTCATGACCTCCAGCTTAGTTGTATTTTTCTCCTTCTTTTGTGTCCGACCGCATTTATCCCTATGCAAAAGAGATGCAAGGTGACTGCAGAGCATACTAGGAAACACTGGACTGCTGATTACCAGAGTGAAGTTAAGTTATCGTGTAGTATGTCATCACAAACTTAATTTTAAGTTCTGTAATAACTGTCATTTTTGATGAAATATTAGGCTACACATTATAGTTTAGTTAAGGAAAGTCTCAACTTCAAAAGACTATTTTATCAACCTTAAATTCCACTCATGCTAAGCTTATTAGAGCCTCTTTTTGCTTACCTGCAATAACAAAGAAGAACAGCAAAAAATCCAATGATAATGACAACAGTACCTCCCAATATGGCCGTAAGGAACACTGTGTGATAAGCTGTTATGTCCTTGGAAACCGCACTAATAATGGATTCTAGATTATCAAACAAAACCAGACAATAATTAGTTCTCAAAAACTAATAATTCCGCTTGATATGCAGAGCTGTATGTAGCTAATAAATTAAACTGTACTTTTCCAGAGATTTTGTGTTCCTATGGCACTACCCTTTTCACCTTGGTATTTCAGCAAACCAGTAGATATACAAGTAGTGGTTATAATATAATGGATCTTCAAAGGTTCATCTCAAGTATGAAAGCCTCACCACAGCATTTCCTCAAGTCCAGTCAAAATACATTTGTATTAGTTGTCCAAACTAACTTAGAAACATTTTCTATTTAGTGCTTCTGTCAGAAAGTGCTATCTGTTTTTAAATTTTGAGAGTGTATTTCTCCAATAAGAATCCCTTCATATGAATTTGAAATACATGGAACAAGTCTACATAAACCAGAATCCACTGGGACCATTTTACCTAAAGACTAATTTTCTTGTTGTATTTCCTCCTGTCATACATGATCCTCAACAGTAAGGGATACAGTCCTGCTGATTTTTAGAACTCCATAGTCACAGTTCCCTTGCAGGCTTCTTCCAGAAGGTGGCAAGAGTATAAACATGTAAGTTCAAATGCAGTTTGGACTTCCCCCATTTGTAGTTTTAGGAAATGGTTATATGCACAAACACACACTCTCAAGATTCAAACAAAAGGTATCCAACTATTGAAACTGCACGTTGTTTTTCCCTTTCTGTTGTTAAATAGATCAAACTGACAGCCTTATGATACACTGTTACTTGGGTTATTCAGTAATTTCTTTTGCAGTTGTTTGCAATACCTCTTGTTCCAGGCAGCGGAGCTGCTATCCAGTAGCCCAAGTGTTGAGCAGTGTATGTCCATACTAATTGACCGTCTGCTTCCTTTACCATTCCTAGCCCACGGCTTACCCAAGCACCTGAAAACAAAAAGACAAAACATTATACGTGCCACGCAGCATTCTTCTATACCTCAAACCATTTAGCAATTAAGCTATTATCAAAAATACACAAGGTCACAAGAAAAACCAAAACTTCTTACCTATACGCTATTTATTACACAACTCTAGCTAAACATACAAACTTTCTCTCTTGTCAATGTCACTGCAAATACCCCGGTGTGGACATCTACTTTGAAACAAAGCATTGACAATACTTACCTCAATTAATTTAATATAATTAATTTTCTATTAAGAAATGCCTTTCACAGATATGCACACAAATCATTTGAAAAATCCTATTACATGAGCTTAAGCATGTATGAAGGCCAAGCCTAAAAATAGTAAAAATCAAGGAGCAGGTAATTTAACCATACGAATACAAGTTTAACATTAGCTAGCAGCACTTAGTGGGAAAGCATGGTAATCTAACAAGCTACAATAGGATAAACAATGTTTGTCTTGAATGTTTCTCTCCTCCTCCCTGCCCCAAGGCAGCAGCAGCTGAGTTCGCCCAAGGAAGGTCTATTGTTAGGACACAGATTCCACACCATCTGTTTGGCAATGCAAAGGACAGGTATTATGGTATGCCAGCTTCTACAATTAATAAAGCATGCAGCAGAAGAGACAGAATTATACTTGACCCACTTGAACACATTTATTGTGTGCCATCTGTGAAATTATAAGGACAGAAAATGACCTCATATAAACTAACTTACATTTTCAAACTGCAAATACTGAGGAGAGAGAACCACCAGGGTTTTTTTTTTTTAAAACAACAATAACCAAAGCAGGCAAAAAGTGTAATTCATATAAGCCCCATAATTTCCATTTCCCTGGCAGAGGGGAATAGCAGCAGTAGTCACCTAAAGCCCTGAAAGAAGTGGCTTCTCAATTACCTGGAAAACCTTTTGTCCAGACTTGGGAGCAACACCAGCCATAAGTCTTCCATCCCTAACTCTCATATGCAGAGAACAACAGATCCTCAAATTCTCTGTCCTGGGAACTCTAAGGCAAGATGTCACTATACTGCAAAACTATTGTTTTACAAGTATAGAGAGTGGGCTACTTAGAGGCAGATGAAAAAAAACAACAGAAGGCTATTGTTCTCAATTAAGTGTTACAATGCAAGCCTTTTTTTTTTTTTTTAAATCTATTAAAATCCACAAAGGGCTTTTGGTACTAATAAGGCAAAATATTTAGTAAGAAGGAAGCCACATTCAATACACATCAACAAATTCTGCATTTACAGCAGCTGGAATATAATTACAAAAGCTCATTTTCCAGGAACAGTCTCCGTACTATTACACTTTGAGTAACCCCAGGGAACACTGCATGAGCAGACACGTGAAAGCAGTTTCCATCTTTTTCTCTGGTGCATATAGATCAGCCTACACAACATCAAAATCAGACCTTTTCCCTTACCACTATCGATAGTCTTATCGCTCATGTCAGATCAAAGATAAAAATAAAATAAACATATTTAAGACTAAACATCCAGAACAGTTAATACAGTTGCAAATTTTCACTGTAGAGAAGAGATGAGGAAGTGGAAGAAAAAAAGTGGGAGTTATGCCCAGAAAGTGCACGTGCCAGCCCACAGTCCTCTCCTCAGCAAGCAGCAGTTAAGGCTCCATGTGAACACTACACCTCAGTGAGCACCCTTCACAAACAGTTTCCCTTTACAGAACCTCTAGCAGAGTACACGCCATCTGAGAGGGAAATCAACAACTGTTTTAATTGGTTTTACTGGCTCAGCACGCCACGCTCCTGCTCTTGCTCTACCCCCCAAGGCCAACATGCCTAAGTAGGCTTATTGAGCAGGCCCCTCAACCCCCATATACACACCTCACACTGGTTTTTATCCTAACCTGACCCTGTGCCAAGCTGCTCTAGCTCTATCAACTTTTTGTTTTAGTAACACTGTTGGCCCAGTTTTCCATTTAGTGAGTTAAAACAGCTCAGCATAGGTACAGTGTAGCACAGGAGCTGGCAAAAGTGGCTCTGACAGCAAGAAATTAAAACCCCTAGTGCTATTTTACTATGTCAGGGTAAAACCCCTTCTTTGATGAAGAACGCTATCTGTTATCATCAGTTACCCCTCTGAAGTCTTCTAGGTATATAGACAAACTTCAACTTCTATGCCAAACTTACTCTATTCACTCTTTTCCCCAAGAGACAACCTAGCCCATTTTTTTTATTAACATGTTCTTAATTCATATTAATGATGTTCTTCATTAAGACAATCAGTTTCGTTCTTGAACATGTAAACAACACTTTGTTAAGAGTTGGCATCCACTCCTGTACTTCTACATGTCGAATAACAGCTTTTTGCCTTAATAAGGAATAAAACACTTACCTCTTCACTCGCGTATTTCAACACGAAGTGTGATGAAAAGTGTAAGGTACAATGTAAGACAATCAGTACACTAATGCACACACAGTTAATACACTTATCCCATTTAGATGTCCTGTATGTAGCTCATTACTCACTCTTGACTAAAATTAGACATGAAGGGATGACAAAAGGTTGAGAATGTCTAATCCCCAGCCTCTCCTCGTCCCATGCGTACCGTAAGAACTATGTTGTTCCCTTTGATAACTCTTATTTCCCCTTCGTTTCACTGCCTGAATTGCTTTTGTTAACTGAAGTAATATCTGTTCCATTTTTAGTGTCAAAGGATCTTTAGAGCTATACTCTAGGAAACAAAGCATCTAAACCTTCAACTCCAATTTGTTTTCTTTTAATAAGGCATTCACAAAATTACCAGCCTTAAAACTTATCATCATCTAAAATGTATGTTCCCTGAATCCTTAGCCTCTCATGAAAATAAAAACCCACTACCTCACAAATTTGTTCAACAGGAATTTGACCAAAGCTTTTTGAACTAATGAAAGCAGGGAAATTCCTTTGACAATTCAAGCTAGTCTATAGAGAAGCAACACAGAATTCCTAATAAAATTTGTGACTATTTACCACCCCCCACATATTAGTGCCATCACCGTTCCACGACACAGTGTCATGTGCCAAAAACTGTATACATGCGCTAAAAGGTAGAACAGCACCTAACTTAGCCCACTTACCAGTTTTCATATCGAATGTCCACGCAGGTATAGCATCTCCTGATTTTACAGTACTCGTGGGAAGAGGAAGTGTAATCTGAATGGGACCATTTACCTTCAGCTCTTTCCCAGTCAAAAGAACATTTACGCATATTGCGGCAAGAGGAGTCAATTCCATGCTCTTGAAACCTGAACGTGAGAAATATCATCTATAATTCTTCACTCATTGTGCACTTTTAAAAGAAATATTTAGAATTAAGAATCTATCATCATTATAGCTAAAGGCAAGCCCTCATTCACATCCAGCACCACAGCTAGTTGTCACCAACTTGGTCAAATAAAAATAATCTCTTCTGGGCTTTTAAAATCTTACGCTTAAAATAGAAACCAGTCATTGTTATATCAAATCTGTAAAAAAGAAACACACTTTTGACATGCAGGTTCAATGCTGACTGTAGAACCAAAAATTAGGCAAAACTTGGCTTGGGGGTGGAGGAATAAAGGTTTTTCCCCTCAGATAATTTGATTCTGAAATAGATAACCTATGTGAAACACAGGTAATGAAAGAATTTTTTGTATAATTGCAATATACGTAACATTGAATCAAACTGAAAACATATGCATATATACAACTGCTGCATTTCTCGTTAGTCAAGCAGTCCTCTTAATAAACTTTCCTGTAAGGATGAACTTTCTAATTTGGCAGTTACAGTTAACTGAACAGTTAATCGCGATGCTTGTCAAAGCGCTGGAAGGAAACTTTGCGTATACAAAGCTTTACAATGCAGCCCCAAAGTTTGTTTCCTTTGTTTTCCTTACACTAATTTGCAAATATTTCAGAATCCACAAAATGACAAGAAAGCTGAAACAGAATTAGTAAGTACCAGAACAGTATCAAATCTATACAAGCTGTTAGAAGCTGGTTGTGAGAAAACTCCTGGTGCATCAGATATCAATTAGCTTCCACCTGCCCAAAAGGAAGTCTATTCCTTTAGGAGTATATGAATAATTTAATACATATGCGAGACAGATTGAAAGGAAAATTCAAAGGGAAGCAACACTGCTTATTCTTTTATGCTTTAAGTTTACAGAGATGCAATATAGATAAGAAACATTTTTAAAAATTTAAGTCAAGACACCAATATATATGATGATTTTAATTAAATGAAAATTAAAGAAGAGAGCATGACAAGTTCAAATAAGCCCCATAGTAGCCTCCTCACGCGCTACAATGAATTTAAAAGCCTCATGGCTTCAGGCCCACTGGGAATAAAAAGAAAAGAACAAAAGGAGAGACGGCTGAACACTGTACAATCTACTAGAGATTACTGTATTTACGTAAATAAAACACATCTGATTAAATGACAAATACTAAAAGATCCAACTGTGTATGAGCAGAGTTATGACTCATGAAAGCACTTAATGCTTCTTCAGTGAACAGAAAATGTTATTTCAGTTGTCTTCTGTATACATAGCTACTGCTTGGTTTCAAACAAGGCTTATGCAGATTAACTGTCTGTGAGCCACACTAGAGCTTCCGTACAACTTCTATGCTATGTGTAAAGCTCCTAGAGCCAACCCATTCTAGTGAAAAATGCAGACAACTCTACAGCTGAAGTCAACTGCTGCAGTTTCACTGATTTCTTTTAGGGTCACCTAGTTTACATTTACGTTACCATATTTTTAAGGTATTTACTAAGCCAATTCTACAGTCTCATGAAATCCTGAACATACTCAACTGAAAGGAATTCAAATGCTCACTTATTGTGTATTAGAATCCCACAACTGTACTTCAGCACTATGTAGAACTAGATAAATATGTATATATTTATATGCACAAAACTCCCTATATGTATATAAATCTATGTAGATATACACACACACACAAAAAAAAGCAGACTGAAGGGTTATTTCTGTGCATTAAGATTTATTATGTTCTCATACTACATGGAACAAGATAAAGGGTGACATCAATTACTTACCTGATGTGTTCACAGCTTACTCCCACTGAACAAAGCTTTGTGATTTAATGCAATGGAAGCAGGTTCAGACCCTTTTAATTTAAGCATATGTTTTTCTGAAATAACATACACACTGCACTATGATGTGAAGATTTCTTCTTTTTAAAATCCTTAAACAACATATTTACCTGATTTATTTAGAAGAACTCCTGTTGTATAGAGAAAGCTGTCCACTTTCAAAAATTGCTCTGGCACTGTCAGATAGGCTGTAACATTTGTAATATGGTGATTTGTTGGAAGCTTTATTAAAAATTTGGGAAACTGAACACTTGGTTGAGATTTGGCATCTGTAAAAGAGTGACATTTTGTCTTAGCAATGGTAAAAACAGTGTTTTTATTACTGCTTAGAAATTCATTTAGCACAACAACCTGTTTTTACCCATTTTCTCCACAGTTGGTGTATTTCTAGTCTAGCACTTGTCACAGACACACACAGTTACACAATTAACTGAAAATCTGGCTTTAAGTAGATAGGTATTATATGAGAACATGAACATGTCTGGGGTTTTTTGGTATGTGTACAGATGGTTATCACAAAGTGTTCAGATTATGGTCTGCATACACTGAACTTACCAGACAGTTTTCCAGTAATTAGGACAGTATCTTCAAACAGCCATATATTAGCTTGACTTTGTGGGAATAACGAAAGCGTCACAGATGAGTATACTGCAGGAAGTAATAATATCTGTTACACTATGCAACTGAAAAAAATCCTGCAAGATTTCCAATTCTGAAGGAATAGGGAATAGAGCAGTTAAAAACAGTATATGAAGACTGGTTAAATAAATTACTCCTGTTGTCCAGGGCATGAATTTTAGTGGTTAAGCACAAAGACCTCTGTTGTATGTTTGCTACTGTTGTATGCCTTCTATCGATAAACAAGTGTCTAGAATTCTTAAGAGTCCACCTCTTTTTTTAAAAAAAAAATCATGTAACATTAGGAACATGCAATAGTTAAACAGGAAACCTTGAGAGGAAGTTGTAACCCCAGGTTATACCTGTTATGCAGGACTCAAAGCTTTGGCACTCCAGGAATCGCTAAAGACAACATGATTTTTGGCAAAACACTTAACAGCCAAGTCTAGGAAAACAATTTCTCAGAATACACTCAGAGTATTGCAATATAACCTAGAGTTAAAGAGGGCTATTTTCTGTTTTACAATAATAAGCATTTTGACAAGTCTAACAGATCAGTCCCCCTTACATCTGCATTGACAAGCACCACCTCCCTTGACTGACTTCAGTCATTTTCAGTTGACAGTTGCTGCGGAAGAGAGAAATTTAATTACCGACAAATACAGTTTAATAATAGGACTGTAAGAGGTTTACGTACTTGGCATTCTCCCAGTCTTCCAAGGCAAAGGTGTTAACATGTAGCCATCCTTGTATGATACGATAGTTAAGCTTAATCCTAATTTGTAGGGAACTTTTATTAATACTGCTCCATTATTTCCAGTAAGAGTAGAATTTGTCTTCGTGTAGTTAACAAACACTTCTACAACCGCTTGTTGCAGGTATTGATGACTGATGATGTCATTTACTTGAACTTTTAGTGTAAAAATGGATCCTATTAACAGAAAAAAAAAAACCAGGAGGTCATGATGCATCATAACTAAGGAGCATAACTTAAATTTGTAAAGAAACCCTAGAGTTTATGCCTTAGCTATTCATCCACTGTACGGTGGATCTCTACCTCAACAGAGGGTAAGCTCTGGCCAAAGGGAAGGGTAATCATACAATTACCACCAGAGAGAAAAAGGAAGAAAAAAACCTTGAGATGGAGCACAAAGATGCCAAAAAATGTTTATCAATCTTAGAAAAATATAATAATATCTAACCAGTTTAAAAAAAAAAAAACAAACCACAAACACACAAACAAAACCAAAATTACAAAGTAATTCTTCCCATTTTTGTTTAAGCTTGAACAATTCATCTGTGACAGAGAGACTGAATATGCCTTGCAAATGCTCAGCAATATCGCACCAATACTACAGCTGGCCTTGTTATCCCAGTGTAACCCTTGGCTTAGGTCACACATTTAAAGATGCATCTTGAGTTTCTAAAAACAGAGAGCCTAATGTTTACAGACTGCAGGATAACACATTTATTTTTACATGTGCAAAATTATTACGAAATAACCAAATGCATCCAGACACCCGGACAGTTTTAATCTATCATCTCCCACCAGATTTACACTTCTGGTCTAGTTTTCACTTTTCTGTATTGCAACTTCTAAATAGTATTTGTCTACCGCTAATTAGAGGATCTGACATTCCTTTACGATATCTAATGTCTTGCAGAGATCATAACTACAGTGACTGAGCAGTATCCTGAAAATATTAAGTCTGCTTGAACAACAGTCTCAAGACACTCTGAAAAACATTCAATTTCTCTCCCATATTTTTCATGCACAGAAGATACATGAAAATGGACAGAAATCCATGTCATATACAGTGTGAAATTAAGTTATATAGTAAATTATCTATGGACCACTGTTTGAAAAAAGATTTCAAATAACATCATCTCTCAAGTATTTTGGTTACAGACATACTACTATTCAACACCATTGCACTACTTTATACCCAAATATTTTCAAATTCATTAATAATGAATATGCATTTCTATTTAGGTCAAATGTCAGCCTAAGTTTGTTTGAAATTTCTCTACATAAAATCCTAGTTCTATTTCATTATGTTATCTCCTCTATAATTGAGACTGACATTGCACCAAGAGATTACTACCATTGACCTTGATTTAAATGAAAAGGCCTTGAGAAGCTGAGCGCAATCCATCAAAAAAACCCAAAACCCAACCAGCACATAGTGAAGACGTCCAAGTGCGGCCTCTCTGCAGTAAGTATTTATTTAGATCTGTTGTACACATGGATCATACCATATATTCAACCAAAAAAATGATCTGCACACAACAAAAGCTACACTGGCCTCAATTTATTATTATTTACCACATACACAGCAAAAACTTAGCAGCCATGCCAGTTTGATTCCCTACAGTGTTATAGAAAAATCTACATCTCCTTGTGCCAATTAATGTATACTTTCAAAAAAAAGAAAAAATATCCCAGTGGTACTCAAACATATCTGACTGAATTAAACAGAAAACGCACAATAATCTTAGACCAATGTCATCTGCCTTTTTTTCCTTATGCATGATATTTCAAGAATAAAATTGCATTTAAATTGCTGTTGCTAGAGGGTTTTAAAATCATGTAATGATTTTTTTTTTAAAAAAAGTCATATAAGCAATGATGGCTACTAAACAGATCTTCCAGGCATTGATCCAATTAGACGCATATTAGCATGATTCCAGTGGTTTCTGAAACTTGGAAGACACGTCATTTGCCCTTGGCCAATGACTATTTAAAAGGTTACTAAATGGGGAAAATAGACTGTGTACAATATTCTGATCCTGTAATCACTTGGAAGCCAGAAGTATCTCGCGAAACGATATTTAAAAAATAATAAACTCAGTAGGACAAAGTTCGAGCTCATGCCAGTAGGAACTAATACCAGAAACGCCTGATATAAACTAGTATTTTAACAGCTGGAATCAAGTCAGGAGAAAAAAAGCCTAATATTAAAAGCCGACATAAATCATAAAATAAAAAAATGAAACCCTAGAATGTACTCAGACACTTTCTTTCAATCGTTTCACGCTTTTAATCTGTATTTTTTCCATTTCGTGCCAACAAAAAGCCTAATGAAAACACACGGGTGGGGCAATCACTACATTCTTCCTCCAGCTTTTAATAAATTCAAAGACTATTTTGGGCAAAATTATTCCTTCCTCTCATCTCCTTCATTTACAGTCATATTAAAATCCACTTTTTTTAGCTTTTGGTTGGAGAAAAAAAAAGACTATGTAGAAAGCTATGCTATTTTCACTTTCTCACAGTGAACTGACAAGTCCCACTAGCTGCTTTTAGCCACACTCAACTTTCATTAATTCTTTCTCCTATGGGCTCAGAAATTGCCCCAGCATTTTTCAAAACTGATCCTCTGTCTGAAACGGTGTTGAAAAGATGGAGAAGCGCCATTGTAAAAGCAGACTGAAATCCTGGGAGGGTTACTAGACAAAGGTTTCCCATCTGAAAATAGACACAGTCTTATGCCACGCAAGCGCTGAAAGAGTAATTACCTGTGTATTACTGTCATGCATAAGCAGCAGTTACTCAAGTGAAAAAGGCTCAATTCACACCCGCTAATATTAAGACAAAGATTAAAGGAGACTCGATCTCCAGCTCTCATTGCTTTTGGCCTTATCTTTTGCGCTAACGTGAGAGTCTTCCTGACAAGAGAAAGTATGCCAATCAGCTGGGAGATGTCCCCTCCCTGCAAGTAATACACAGTAATTCTGCAGATTTTCTAGTCTCAACCAGAACATACTCCGTCCACAAGTCACTTGAAGATTATGTGCAACAATTTTGGAACGACACTTTTTAAAAAAATAAAAATCTTCCCATTCCTCGATAGCAACAGTGCAGAAGACATGAGCACACAAATTACGTGTCTGAATCCAAATGCTTGTGAAATGATAATATCTAAAAAATCCAAGTTAAAAAGCCAGAATCCAACAGTAACAACAGTTTTCCTCCCCCACAGCCACACTTGACGATTGTTTTGTATAAAACTGAGTGTATCAGAGCATCCTAGAGCAGCCCAGATGTAACAGCCTAGATAAGAGCAAAACAATCACAAGGTCCTAAGAGCTCGGACCACGTGTGCAGCGGTGGGCCAACATGTATGACTGACCCGTATCTTGCCAAACTTGATGGCCCTTGACCAACTCCCTCATGTGCCTCGCATGCATTTAACATGCATATTTGTTATCATATTTAATAGTATTGAGTTATTAATGTTATATTAACACTCATGACACCTAATTTGCAAAGAAAATCCTATGCTTTTTTTCCTTTATATCAAGATCTTAATGCACAAGTGCTCAAAAACACTATTAAGCATCAAATACGATGGAGACTGCAGTAGGATTTTTTTAATCAAAATAAAATGTACCAAAAAACATTTCAAACAAAAAAAAAATGAACCATTGGCTAACTGTTTAACAAAACTTAAGTTGATAAATTAAACAGTAGATGAAACCTGTGCTTTTTTCTGGTCACTAACACTTGCCAAACACAAGTGGGTCAGCTGTATCTCAATATTAAACAGATTTGACAGAACTCCTACAATTAGAAGAAAGAACTCAGTCTTAGCTAATTTAATTTGTGCTGCCTCAGAGGAAGGGAGGTTTGTCTCTTGGCAAGTCCACTGAAAATGCCAGCTTCTACAACATTTAAACGTTTGTTGATAAATGTTCATACAAACGTAGCAGTTACTTAGACAAAGGGAGATGAGGCCTTCTACCACATTTAGCTACTTCAGAAATGTCACAGCCAGTAAAATGACACCTCATTTCTTCGAGCAACAACATCTAATGCTGGGAATATGGCTTCACATCACTGTTCCAACTCAGAAATCACATCACAAAATTAGGTCCAAAAAAGTGTGGAATTGCAAGCTGGGTACAAAACATAACAGTACAAAAAATATCTCTTTATAATACTGCTTAGTAATTTGTTCTTCATTCTTTACCTGCAGATAAACGTATCATCTAGTTACCATATTTATGTGAGATTTAATTAACATGGTCAAGGTCAGAGGCCTTACAGGCACTAATCTATTCCAAACTGCCCATACCATTAACTGTGAGATACAGCAGTGAATGCACGCAGAGGGCACTACCGGGAAGTATTCCTACACATTCTGCAATCCAGTCCTCAGTGCCTTTTCCCATTTGTCACCAAGGTCCTATAGCAAGAGAGGTTCTGCACCTCGAAGGCGGCAGTTACTCTTCCCAAACACAGACAACTACCCAATTAAGCAATTATCTTATGGAGTGGAGGCAACAGTAACTGCAAATAAATTATTCATTAGTTTCTTCCTTCAGAGGAGATTTTTCTCATCCTTGCCTGGAGATGTTTAAACCCATGCCAGAAAAGGCACATGCTTACTTATGTTTTATGGAAACTGCCTACGCTGTATTACCATTACCCAGCTAACCAGACAGATAAAACACATGCTGTGCAATTTGCTTGGTCTTAGTTGACTGAACAACCATTCTTCCATCTTTTACATTCATAGAGCACCATATTTTTTGGCTTAATATAATTAGGGATATGAAAGGTGCACTGATCTGTAAAGAAGAAGTCACGTGTTCTAAGAATATCAGGCTTTACTACACATGCAGTATTGCAATAGATATCACCATTGGGGGAAAAAATAATCAATGAAATACAATCTACAGAGTCGATGCACATCTGGCTTTAGTAAGAGGTGGTCATATGAAAGCAATCCTCCTGCCCACAAAAACCAGTCATTATTTCCTAAAATTTCCTGAAAACTACAGTAATGCCAGTGATGAACTACAAAAGCGTATCTATAAAAAGTAAAAGCCTATTATACCTTTAAAGCTCATTAAAAATCTATGTACATGAAGGTGAGTTGTGGCAGCAACTGACACAGGAATGATTTCATGCTGAAGTAAGCCCTCCTCACTACAGCACTCCATCAGTCTGCGGTTACCTTTTGTTCTT